CTCAGGGACATCCCCACGGCATCCAGGCTCTGGCTGCGGCCGCGGATCACCCGCTGGGCAAAGGGAGGCAGGGAACAGACAAACACAGAGACACGTATAGGCATGCACGTGGCAGGGCAGTATGAAAAGCACCACAGAGTGGGTGGAAAGTGGGGACAGACCAACACCGGGACCACACAACTCCTAACTCCTAGCAGGCAGCACCTTAGATGTTACCCATGTTTTATCTCAGCTTATTCATGGAGCTCCCTGCCGGGGAAGAACTCTTCCCCCAGAATATTCTCTACTCCCATCTCCCTCGTCCTGTTGCAATGAAGAGAGATCCCTCACAAGTACCCCAGTGTACGGGACAGGACAGCATGGCCTGGAGCAGTCCTGCCCAGTACAGGCTACAACACGAACTCCCACTCAGGAATGGACGGTACAGCCTCGCACGAACGGATTCCAGGGGGAAAGCAGCCATCTCAAAATCTGCAGCATTTGAAAAAGTAATTTTCTGAGTCTACTCAGCTTTTTCCAAAGGTCATCTGTGTACATGACATGCAAATCACAGCATCTGCTAGAAGTCAGCAAAGGACATTTTGGGATAATCAGTGTAAGACATGGATGGGTATGAAATGCCTGGTTAGCAGCAAAGGCAAGGTAAGCTGATTGCACGTAAAAGTACACCTCACCCAAGCATCCCAGCTCTGACCAAAGCTACTCATATAGCTACCAAATTTATAGGTGAATGCATTAGTCTCACAGTCCTCAACAACTCTAACCAGTCCACAATACAAAGCAGGTGGAGGTCATCTGAAAAAATGCTATTTACAACACACTTCTCTGTCCAGATAGATAACACATTATACAAAACAAGCAGTGAAGCACTTCCCACAGAACTAGGAAAGGGGAAGTAGATAAGAAAGTGATATAAGATTCCCTCTATTGGTTCAAAACTCAATTTGCCTCTTTGTACAAAAACTTTGTTTCTTGTATCATCTTGATCATTTTTACAAGTAAGTTCTGTCACCTGGTCGTGACTTATTTTTTTTTAAAAAGTGTCACCTACACTGATGCTTGCTACTAGTTGTTACAATTCCTCTTGCAAAAACACACTCCTTTTTCTGTAACTCCTGGAGTGAAACCCCACCTGACACTAGCCTGAAGCATGAAGATTTTGGCTTCTCAGGGACCGTGTGGAATTCCACCCTGGACCATGCTCTATAGGAAGGAGCACAAGGAAGAGGAAAAATGTCTTTTCTTGAGAGATATGGTAAAGCACAAAAAAAGGCTAAAGAAAGGCCGCTGGATGGAAAGATTTTTTTCTGTCTCACCCTAGGCACAGCTGATTAGCAGGGTCAATACTCCTTGGAAGGACACAGAAAGAGGATGAGTAAAGCATGAGCAACTGAGCAAGTAACCAATCCACTACAGCTCACCTTGAAATTCTCGAGGAAGCCCCCACTACCATTCTCCATCTTGTCATCCTCTCCTATGGGCAGTCCCATCATACTCCGGCTGCGAAGCTGCAGCTCCTCAAAAAGGCTCTCCAGGAGGGCACTTCGAGTTCTCTCCTGCAGCAACATTGGGAAGGAAAACACAGCTGTTATTGGAAGTGGAGGGATTTCTTTTTTCTCCCGTTTTTGCAATGTTTCACATCCTCTCTAAAAAAAACCAAACCAAACCGAAACGCACCAGACAAAACCATGAAAATGAAACAATATGAAGTGGTTTTAGCTGTAGAGTTATGGAATATATTACAGTAATATCCAGCCCTTTTGAACTCTTTCTAAAGCAAATCATGAAGGACTTCAGTACTTCTTTACAGTTGATGAAACAGTGGCTTGTTTCTTCTAGATCAGGCAAGCAGCAGAGTCTGGAACAGAATTTTGGTACCTTGAACCAGAAATCAGTGGTATCAGTGTGCATCCCGTAGCAAAATACAAAGTTTCAGCTAAGACAGAACTTCCACCAACAAAATGTATGGATCACATCCCTATTATTAGTTGAGGATGAGACCTTTTACATTGGAATGTACCTGTTCATGTTCTACCATGCCTGCTGTGGAACAGAGGAAGCATCACACAGCTGAGCATAACCGCGTTCCACCCGTCCTTCTTTTTTAAGCAACACACAATCAGAAGAAAGTAAAAAATTGTACTGTATTTTCTTAATCTGGCAGTGGTACAGCGTTATAATTGTTAATGGAAACAACCAGGAAGAAGACCCACCTCTAATTTAGCAAACTTCTCAGCTCGATAGCAGCTGTATTCAGCATTGATGAGCTTGACCAGGAGGAATTCACGAAACTCTGCACTCTAGAAGACAAGATAAAGACCAGACTGGAGCTGAAAACAGGAACAAAGATATCATGAGAAAAACTCTGCCTTACTACTTTTTAGACCTCCCAAGTTACCTAGCTAGACTAACAAGACTGACTCTGAACAGAAGGGTCTGTACCATATCCCCCTGCCTTCTAAAACCAGCCCAGAGAAACAAACCTTTCTAAACACGGCTGGATTTGGCAGAGGGGGTCCAAAGAAGGGGACATCATCTCGGGCTGTGACCGACACCTAGAACAATACAAGGGGAAAAACAAATAAGTATCATAACACAAGTGAGACTATCCAAGCCTTCAATCTACTACAGTACATCTGATCCATCCTGAATAATTTACATAAGCAAAAAAGATCTAATATGCTGTCCTGTGCATCTTGGTCAGATGCACAGATGCAAATTTGTCAGCTGCTCTGAAAAACATACAAGTACCTTCCAGTTTCATGGGTAGATATTTAACAAATTAGGATGACAGCTGGCTGAACCTGTCTCTCCCCCAAGGGCCCAAGAACAGGTTTCCACTTTGAGGATCAATATCAGTAGATCAGTACAGAGGAATCCACTGGCTCTGTTTACCTTGTAGAGGGTGTCCCCAGTGGTGCCATGAGTGAGCTGAACAACCACATAAGCATGCAGGAAATTAGAAGCAATCATATCAGGGACAAAAGGTGTGCTCTCATCCTGGAAGATGATGGCTACAATGTCATTCCCAATGTGGCGCTTCCGCTGAAGCTGGAGAGAAAAAAGAAAAACAAAACAGGAAGGCAGCTGAAAAAGAGCAGAAGAGTACAATGAGGCCTCAAACACCAGTCTGTCCAGCATCACCAACCCCTCTGTTCAACCAAACCCCTTGTTTTACCATTGCTCCAGCTATAACTCTCAACATCATGCAGTCAGGCATTCTCCTCTCTATGCAGTCCCTCATCGCTCAGCCACACTGTTGTGTTCCTCAGTTCTCCTTCCCATACCTGCTGGGAATCTCCCTCTGTGAAGGGCAGCTTTGTAGACACATGGAACATGATCTCCTTGCCCCGGAAGTTTGTATAGACTGATTCAGTGCCTGTCTGACCTCTGGTAACATCCAAGCCTCCCCGGAACCTGAGCAAAATCCACACCGTGCCATAGGTCAGGCAGGAGGGAGAGGAGAAAGTGGAGAGAAGAAAGATGATATCAATAACAGTGTTTAAGAAATCAGTGCTAGCAAGGCACCAAGTTTTCCCAAAACAAATGCACTGAGCAAAGCTGCACAATGTTTCTGCTGATGAACATACTTGCTTGCTAAAAGCTATGAAGCTAAATCAGAGACCCTCAAAGGAGCTACTTCCTCTGGCATTCTTCTGAGAAACATAGTCCATATTTTAGAACTACAGAAGGGATGGGCTGCCTCACAGAGAGAGATTAAAAAAGTACCAACCTATACCATAAACCAAACTTCCATCTGCACAGTCAAATAAAACTATTCTTTACTGATACTGAGTCAGACTGAAGTTCCAGGAGACCTTCAGATAAAACAAAACAGCACAGACCTCAGGTCCAACTTGTTCCTAGACAAAATAGCTGACAAAAGCATGCTGGGCACCTCCAGATGCACTGGGATGCAGAGGACACAGCACTCTTCTGGAAGCAGGGCTCTCAGAGAGGTGCAGCCTCTGAACAGAGGGGTGCACCCTAACTCAGCCTGGCTACCCAGCCGTGCTGCCCACGCACCCACGGAAGTCCTGCAGCTGAACCCTGTCCCCGAGGAAATCCAGGAACTCCAGGAAGCCCAGGCTCTCTTCTGTGTTACTGAAGACCTCTTCTTCGGTCGTCTGCACAAGGAAAAGAAAAGTCAAAAGGAGCACAAGCAGTAAAAAGAAGAGGCAGCAGTTTCTGTACACAGCTGGACCAGCTCTGAGGACCTGCACAAACAGATGGCTATAAGGCAAGCTCCTACCCCCTCTCCACAGCAGCTGTTTTACACAGGACAGCACAGAACTCGTTATTACATCTAAGCTGAGAGAACTGATTATTGACTCTTCATCTTTTGCCTCAAGAACTGAGAGATCCGAGGGAGCTTACCTGTCCAGATTTCTGGTAGATGACCCCAAATTTGAAGTTATTGCTTATGACATGTTCATCAAAGGCAACAATAAGCTGTGAAGCCTGAGGTAATGAAAATACAAACGATTAGCTGGATGCCATCAGTCAGACCTTGATGGAAAAGGCACATACAGACATATCAGAACATTATACCTTGGGGTAGAGGACAGGAAAGAAGCGTTCAACATTCACATCCTCACATAGCAGCTGTTGAGTGAGAGACAGAGAGAAACAGAAGTGTGATTATCCTGCTTGACACAGGCATGAGAGCATAGGCACTGTTTATAATTATCTGACAAGAGGCCCTTTCAGACAAAAATTCTGAGGTAAACTTAGAAGAGAAAGAAGAGAAGCTAAATGAAGTGCAAAAGGGAAGTAGTAGAAAAAAGGGGAATGGAAGGACATGGGTGAAAACAACTTGAAGAATGAGGTGTTAAGAGTGAACAGACAAGCACGAATCTCACCTTTGCCATCTGGACTGCATTTGGAAACTCATTCAGACAGGAAATGGGTATCAGGTCATGTTTGGTACCAGTCCGAGTCCTGGCACAAAACAAACAAGGCATTAGAGAAAAGGCTGAAGGGAGACACAAACACTGGCTCTTTAAAGAAAAGTATTGCCATTCCTTCAGATTATCCTTAGAGCAGTTAATTCCAGAGGATTAATTTTAAGCTTGTTGCATAAAATCACTGGAAAAGGGAGGTATTTACACATCTTATTGCTCATCACTTGTGGGGGACAGAGGAAGACAAAACAGGGGTGCTTAGTCTTTGCCCCTTCACTTCATCCACCCACTTCATTTTCTTTCACAGAAATCTTAGTGTTGAAATACAATGCATGGACACAGCATTATACTGGATTCATAAGATCACATGATGAGGGTTTGAAAGACTTTTCATAGACAGCTGGCTGAATACCAAACAGTGTGCCCAGGTGGCCAAGGCCGCCACCAGGCTGCTGGGGCCCTGGCTTGTATCAGAAATAATGTGCCCAGCAGGACTAAGGAAGTGACCATCCCCCTGTGCTCAGCACTGGTCAGGCCACACCTCAAATACTGGGTTCAGTTTTGGGAGGGCACCTCACTACAAGAGGCCACTGAGGTGCTGAAATGCGTCGACAGAAGGGCAGTGAAGCTGGTGAAGAATCTAGAGAAAAAGTCTTATGAGAGCAGCTGCAGGAACTGGGGTTGTTTAGCCTGGAGAAAAGGAGGGTCAGGGGAGACCTTATTGCTCCCTACAACTTCCTGAAAGGAGGCTGTAGTGAGGTGAGGGCTGGTCTGTTCTCCCAAGTAACAAGCTACAAGACAAGAGGACTCAAGTTGCGCCAGGGGAGGTTTAGATGGGAATTTAGCAAAGAATTCTTCATTGAAGGGGTTGTTAAGTATTGGAAGAGGCTGCCCAGGGGAGTAGTGGAGTCACCATTCCTGGAGCTATTTAAAAGACATGTAGATGTAGTGCTAGGGACTTGGTTTAGGGGAGATTTGGCAATGCTCGGATAACAGCTGGACTCGATGACCTTAAAGGTCTTTTTCAACCTAAAGGATTCTGTAAATCTGTTACTGTTAAAAGGTCTGTTAGAGACAGCTTAGGAAAGCAGACCTATGCAAAGTATAAGAGGTACAAACTGGTGTAGCATTGCTCCAGAAAGCTGATGGAGAAAAGCCTCCTTTCTCTACACACATTTGTTAAAGGAGAGATGTCTTTCTAGGGGAGAAGAAATATTGGGGTATCAGAGTCCTCTTCAAACTACTACGAACAAGCTATCGAGCAAAAGGTGCTCTGTACAATAAGGTACCTTAATAGCAGAATTACTACCCTTTTGTTCTTCAGCAGCAGGTTTCTGGGCTCAGCTAAACATTCCCTGGCACAGCTCACAAACAGGCTCTTCCTTTCCCCCCCTGAGATTATTGCCCCATGGCACCACAAAGTGTTCTCTGCATACAACGGAGGAACCCAGCAGTGATTCTCTTGTAGCTGACCCCTATGCAACCAGTAATTTCCCTCAGTCCTGGCTGAGTCCTTGTCAACAGCAACTGTATGGCAGCTGGATCCAGTAGCCTATGGCCTACTGGAAGCCCATTTAGCCACAGATTGGTAAAAAACTTTTGTGCAGCGTGCCGCTCACCTACAGAAGATCTGTTCTTCCCCTAGTTCATTCAGCAGCTCTCTGGGTAATGGCTGTGGAAGCCCTAAAGGTTATGGCACTTCACAGGCTGTCCTGGGAAACCAAGGAATGTTCTAGTTCACCTTTAAGGGAGCCTTAGTCTCAAGTAAAAAGTCCAAAGACAGGCCTGGGCTACACTGCCCTCCATCAGGGAACCCACATCCTCCTAGCGAGTACTTACGTCTCCATGTAAACAGAATAAACAAAAACTTTCTTTTTGATGGAAGAACAGACTTTTTTTCACAGAGGAACTGCAAAGATGCTCCTGCAAACACCACTTCAGTTTCCTGAAGGAACCTGCTGTGAGAAAGTCATAGGGGAAGGCAAGAAAAGAAGGCTCAGAAGTTTCTTTGCAGTCCTCTCCGGGAGAAAGAAATGAGATTCACACCACGTCTATGCAGAGCAAGCTCGAGGTAAGAGGAGAGGCAGCACAGTAACATACACCTCAAGAACTGGCACTGTTACCTCAGCAGCAGGCGTAGATTTTCCTGTTTCTCTATCTGTTCATACTTCACAGAAAGCACCAGGTAGCCCAAGGACATGTCACTGGAGTAAAAGTTCTGGTGCTCCTGAAAACAGGAGGCAAAAATGCATTATTGCCAACACAAGGGCTCCTGAGAAGGAATAGGATGAGAACGTTCAGCAGCACACCTTGAAGAAACTGAGTTTCTGAAAAACTAATTTCTTGATGGTTAGTATCACCCTGAGATCCAGCCTAGCAATCAGCCAATTCCCTAAACAAGCCAACCCAGACGGACCTCACTGGCCAGCCACCAAACACCCACTTTCTGAGGACAAGCTCTGTTTCTCTATCTGGAATTTTTAAAGTCAGGCAACACTTGGCTCAAAACTTACTTAAATCAAACAGCTATAAAACACATTGTCCAGTTTCTTCACACATGTTCTGTAGTGACCACACTTGCTAACTATCTGCATCGAGGAGAATGGAACCATTTGCTTACTGCTGAAGGGCTTGCACTCTCAGTGCTGAAGTCCCCTCCAAAAGCAACACCATCTCCATTTACAGCACTGTTACACATTCTTCCTCTTGTCATGCCAAGGTTGGTATCAATCCAGGAGCCTCAAAAGAGCTTCCTAACCAAAAAGGGGCATTTCCTGTGCAAATCTCTCTCTTCTGTTACTACACAGGATGATGCACCTATCATAAGGGGATCGGTCAAGCTTAACACACTACAGGCCATACCTCATTGACATTAGTTCAAGGCATCACAAGGAACTGCAAAGGAGTGGCTGTGCAGTTCATTCTAGGTGTGTCTGAGATAGATTTCAGCCTGGGGCTGGGCAGGCAGAGAAGGCTCTGAAGGTCACCCTTACCTTGCCCAGGAAATGTTTGCGGTACAGCTTGGCTGTAGGGTCACTTTCCAGTTTCGCTTTACCACTCCAAGGAAAGGGTACATCAGAGAGAGCTGGACTCAAGCTGGAGAGGTTGTGGCTGGTCCCTTCAATCCAGTAGCCCCCAAACTGGGGTAAGATAATGAGAGGATATGGCCACCCTTTCTGTAACACCTATTCAGAGAGACAGAGAACATGAAAGCTGAAAGGCCAACAAGCTGAAAGGCCAACAAGCTGAAAGGCCAACAAAGTCCAAGGAAAAAAAAGAGGAGAGCAGTACCAACTCACCTCATGGATGCTGGGGTAAGGAATATACTCCTCTTCTGTCTGAAACCAGAAGAGATCATTAGCAAAAATGTGTGACATCTTTTAAAGTGTTATGCTGTCGTGATGGTGCAAGCTGTGCCCTCAGCTTCCACTCTGCCCTAATCCATCTTTCCAGTCTTACTTCAGGGTTTAAGTTTAGACTCCATTTCCTAGGTCTCAGCATTATAATGTAGAACTCTGAGAACAATAAATTTAGGAATCAGATTTCACCCACATTCCTCCTTGAAACTCCACAGAATATGGGCATGCAAAATGAGAAGGCAGTCAAACTATAAACAAATTGGATGAGGTTAGGAGTGACAGCCTCTCATCTTCCACACAGGGTTAGAGAACTGCTGTTCTTCTGCAGACAGAATGAGTCTGCAGACACTGATTCTGAGATTCTGAGACAAAATGGCAGGGCAGCAGGGATGGTAGAAATAGTGCTGTTATTTACAGTGAGATGGAGGTTGTGCCACCTCCACAGCCAGACCTGTGGTACACAGCTGAGCAGTGCTGAGTCACCACTGCAAGGACAGGAGCAGGATCTGAACTACTTTATGCCAGCTGGATGCCCCTTCCATCACCACAAAGAGCACTGACTAGCTCTGTCAGAACTGAGCTGGATCAAATCTCTATGTGGCTTTTTTTTTTCTCTTAAGTTGATTCCAAGATTAAATTCAAGGTCAAGATTGATTTTAAGGTTATTTTGGCCAAGCTGCGACAGAAGGAATGGAAATGAAAAGCTGAGAATTTATATGGGAGTGTGTTCTTATTTGCCTGCCTAGTATTGAGGGAAACAGCCCAGCTTCCTAGTACCATCTACGTGAACCCTCAAGCAGACTACTGAAATAAATGCAATGTGGTTTCATAAACAGTATTATAGCTCTTACATTGCATAAAATTTAAGAAATTACTTAGTCAAAACTAAGATTGTTAAAAATAATAAATACTTATTAGGATCACTCAAATTTGAAAAGGGAAGCACTGATTCTATTTCAGCAACACAGGTTTACCCTCTTGTGCAGTAACTTTAAAAACAAAAGAAAAGGAAGCATATATTCATTCTTGCAGGCTCTCTGTTCATTTCAAGATAAAAATACACTGCAAGTCAGGTCACTGATTATCTGACATTCTCAGCATTTAGAAGGAAATAACCCCTTGGCCTGACCTTGAGAGGAGCTGGAAGGGAACATCTCTGTTCATCCAGACGACTCCCCTGGAAACATGAAGTCACAGACAGTGAATCCTGTGTCTGAGCATGTCTGTTTCACTTACCCTCTGTGTCCTCCCCTGCATCCCCAATATGCATCTTTTATAGAATTTTCTATAATTTCCTATTTCATGCAAGTTTGGAACAAACAGGAGGAGTAAAGCTAGCACTTGGCCAGTTCCCTGGTTTGGCATTAAAACTTAAAAGCTCCTCCCAGCCTCCAACTATGTAGAAGCAGAAAGCTGGCAGAAATCAAAAGAAATCATCCTGACTGATTCTTCTGTTTCACTCTCTCATCTCTGATGGACCACAGCCAGGTGCAACAGGGCCTAACAATGCTATGATAACACATTTTTCAGAGGGAAAGAGCAATGCCTTGAGGGGACTAATTCAAAAGAGACAACAGATAAAAAAGGGGTCACAGGAAAAAAAACAAACCATGAGACAGTTGTGAGAAAATAACATTGAAGGATATGTTGAAACTGTATGAATGTCAAATTAGAGGTAGTGAACATGTCACCATAAAAGACAAAAGCAGGAAGTGAAGAGGGATTTGCTGTGGAAGAATGTGAAGACCTGAACCACCCAGGTTTATTGGCTGAAATAAGACCTGCTTGCTCTTCCACTGTTGGCACTGCACAACTGTTTGCACTGTACAGACACTGTGTTTCTAAGTGTCCTTAAGGTGTTTACTGTGGCTTCAGCACATCTGTACACCTAGAACAATGCAGCCAGTAGTTCATTTACTTCAAGTACTGATTATTAAGACTAAAATGAAAAAAACAAACAAACAAACAAACAGGGGTGTGTGTGTGTGCAAACTTCATTGCCAGATCTCAGGGACAAATTTCAGTTCAAAGAGTACAACTTTACCAGTTAACTCATAACAGATCATGTGAAATGGCTATGTTAATTTTCAGTCAAACAATTATGACCCCAACCTGATAGTTAAAATGTTCAAAACCTAATTCTTTCTCATGGCTTTGTTGTTGTTATTTTAGAGGAGACATGCCCAAGTCTCTTGCTTTGCCTTTTACTCACTTGGTTGCTAATGAAAATTTCAGATTTAATTTTCAAGAATGTTCCTACAAATCTAAAGGCTAGCAGAGCGAAACTGGAGGGAAGTGAAATCAAAAACAAGGAAACAAACAAATAAGAATGAATTAACAAAAATATGAAGAAAGCACACAACAAAAAGAAATATCTGTGGGGAAGTTTTTTCTTTTGGAAAACAGCTCTCTTCCCTTCTCTCAAAAAACTGCTGTCATACTTAAGCAGCATTTATTAATCCTCCTAGTGCAACTCAGGTGACAAAACAAGCTAAATTAAAAAAACCCTCAAACCACTCTTAACAATGAGCAGTAAAGAAACCAATATAGATGCAAAATCAGGTGGCCTGCATATGTTGGAAATTCTCCTGAACTCCTCCTGCTACATCTCCAGCTAAAGAGGTTCAAATACAGAGAAGGACAATTGTCATACAGTCAGCTAGGAGCTAAGGAACCCTGACAGTCCTGAGCAACACAGGATTGTCTTCCAGAAAGGGACACCTGCTAGTGATGCTCCCCTGTGCAGGTTTCAGAGGTGCCAGGTCTGGCCAGGCAGCTCTGCACACCACAGTTCATGTTCCAGCACAAGCCAAGTGGCACACCCACAGAGCTGCTTCTCCTAAAGCACTGAGACTATATCCCAAACACAGTGTGGGTGAGAGTACAGTGGCTTCAGGGTCTGTGTCTGCCTACACATGTACATACATAGGATACACCTTCAGCCCCTCTCCCTGGCTACTCCTTTCTAGTCTGTCCAACAGTACTTCAGCCTCATAACTCTAGACTCAGCGTGTTGCTGCTACCTTCCACCTCCTCACCCTCAGTCCCACCAAAGTCTGGCATTTTCTTCATACCCAAATTCCAGAAAAGAAGTTAATTGGCTTTTATAAGTTTAATTCCTGCACATAATAGAAAGCAGGAGTTATGTGCCCTGTCACACACCATGTCAGGTTGAAGTTAACCCCAGCATTTTAAAGAAAGTGTACAGCTCAGAAAATATTCGTAGTCTGTAAGGATGCTCTGAGAACAACTGAAAAATTTAGTTAGTCCTGAAGATTTTTTTGTTAACTACGTAACACATATAACATCCTATTATGTTACTATGTCTTTATTTGATAGGGCAGTGTAGGTTTTTCTTCCCCTTTTACTCTAATTTTCTAATGTTACACATGCAGCTAAATGCCTGTATTTGTGTAAAAGAATTAAGTCAGAGTCCTTCTTTCTTGTGCAAGTTCAAGATGAGGCCTACAGCAGTCATTTATTAAACTGACCTTGCTAAGTGCAGATACATTAATATCCCATTCATCGCCTTTCATTAGTAGCTGCTACCCAGCAGAAACATAGTTTCTTGATAAAGATGCTAGGGATACCATAATGCAACTTTGATTTTCTCTCAGAATCATGCTTCTGCAGAGATCATATAGAATTATAATAATTTGTGTCTATTTCTTCCATTCTGCTGGTTGCAAAAACAAGCACAGGAAAATGCTTTTGACTTCCCAGTTCAGATTAGGCATAGGAGCTTGGATCTAGAAGAGCTAAATATTCTGCAAGACCAAATTAAAGTGTACTGAGAGCAATGTGACAAGACAGTTGATTGTCTGGCTATGAAAAAAATCAAGAGATCCCAAAGTCTGACAGAGTAACTTCCTTACCTGCATTTTTTCAATCATCTCAAACAAGTCCACAGTCTGTGAAAAGAAGAAGACAACAGAGAAATTAATCTAACATTTGCAGAAGCTAGCATTATCTTCTATGGCAACCCAGACATTGAAGAAGCCAACAGCTCCTTCCACGTTTTGGCACAGAAGGTACTTGCTCACTGAAGACAAGAGGGAATCATTCTTCCTCAGCTGACAGCATGAACTGTACAACTTGCCAAATTGCCTTCAGCTTGTGTTGCAAAGTTTGAACTGGAACCTGATCAGAGAGGTATCAGGAATGTCTCTCTTTCAACTGGTCAGAGTACTGGCTTGATCATACCATAAAAAATGCAGGATCCTGACAGAAGTGGGCAGCTATAGCTACAACACATCCATGCACTCATCCTGGCCTTCAGGCACTTCTTCTGCGCAGTGGCTCAAGGCACATCCCAGCCCTGAGCCACAGGAATGTGTACTGCCCTTACCTTGTTGGTGACAGCAGGGGTGAGGGCACATGGAAAGCCTGGGATGGGAAAGTCTATAACATCACTGAAGCAGTTCACATCCTCCCCAGACCTCCTGCAAGAGACAGAAGAAGATGGGGGAAAGAAGAAATCTGAATCTTGGAGAACTCAAGATGCTAGTGCTTGCCTGTAGTGCCTCCTTCACCTTTTGCTGTTTTCTGCTTCTTCTTCCTCTCCCCAGACCACTTCTTGCCTATGAGGAAGAATAACTTGCTCTCCTCTAGCTGTTAGAAGCACTTCCTGCTGGTGCCACGCCACGCCAGCGGGGTCTGTAAGCGATGCCAACGCCTGCTCTGACACCACTGGGTACACGCCCTGTTCTACAGAAGTATAGTCCTGCAATCACGTAGCTAGCCTATTAAAACTCCAAGATTCTCCATGCCCACCAATCCCCTGACAAGTCACAATTTATTTTAGGACACTTTGGATTGACTGGAGCACTCTGTGCAACAATTGCTCCTCACCTTTCAATCCTAGTACACCTTTATTGTCAAAATTACTCCAGCAAAAGCCAAAATCATTGGTCTTATATGTTTAGAGATGTTCTTCATTCTGTAATTATCCCAGATTAGAAATGTGCTGAGGGTCTTTAAAAATACAGGAGAATTACTCAGACTTTATACTTTTACAAAAAATGACAAAAAATTTGGGGCCATTGTAGCTATTGCTTGAAAGTCCATTTGTGAATTTTGAACTTCTGAATGAAAAGCACTAAGCTTGATTTACAGAAAGAGAACATACTTCCTTTCAAACTGGAACTTCAAACTCTTTGATCACAGAAAAGCAGAAGATCAGCCTTCTGAAAAAGAAAAGGAATTCTGCAGACTGGAAGAGGAGTATGTCCACCTGTATACTTGCTGAAGCTTTATTTTCAGGAAATGGCAGTAAGGGGTAGCAGAAGGCCTGGAAAATGCTTAACACTAAACAGGGATTCTGCTACTGTCAATAAGCAGTGCATTAATTTCAAGCAGGTAGGCAAACGAGAAGTAGGCACTGCTGATCCACTGCTGAAGACTTCACTCTCAGCTCTGACATGAGGAGAGAAGCTCCTTCCCAGACCTCTAAGCCACCACCTCCACACAAACTCTGCTCACACCTCGTATTCCTGTTCTGGAGCACCCTCTCCTATTGCAGTCCTGGGTTCTCTCCAAACAGCTCTCTTAAAGTCATTCCCACCCGCTATAGCTGAGCCAGTTCAATAACCAAGTCAGTGCAATTATTTGTTCTGCAAAAAACACAAGTTGGCCGTGACACATTTCATACATCCTTCCATCTATCTTTCCTATGTACTCCAGAGGTGAAGGGGATTTGCTGCACTCTGAAGAGATAAATGCCCCAAATCCTCAGGTAACTATTTTGCTGAAAGTTCACAGGCAAGCAAGTGTATAGCTAGTGTAAAAATCTTTGCTAATCTGGAAGCCTTCCAGGAAGAGAAACAATACAGCATGATTTGCAGCTAATGATGGAATGACAGTCAGCATAATAACTGGCATCTCAACCTGATGAACGACCCTTGCAAGGAGACACTGACATGGTTTTTAAATCCCTCATGAGAAGAGACAGACAATTCAGAGGAACTTAAAGTAATGTGAAAAAAGAACAGGCCTGAAATGTGAATTTCTGGGCAACCACTTCTTTTGAGCAACAGCTCCTGCTCTTTCACTCCCTTGTTTCTCCCTTAAAGGGACATATTTACTCAACCAAATACAATTTTTAGGTATTTAGTGAAGACAACTCAAACCATCACATCAATAGCCTTATTCTACCAGCAGCTGTATGGCTTTGAACTCCGCTCACACACAGATGCCTAATATTCAAAAGGAATTATGAAGCCAGAGCTAGGAAAAGGAAACAAGTGCTACGGGTAGAATGCTCTCAACCGGTCCCAAATTCTTCTGCCCACACACTCTGGCTTCCAGCTGGGAACGTCCCTGACAGCGGCAGTCCCTCTCTGGCTGCCGGGCAGCTCCCGCGGGGCCGCTGCTCGCAGGCGTGGCAAGCCCGCTGCCTGCCCAGGCCCTCCTCTCCCCTTTCCCTGGCCGAG